ATTTTTCTTGATACTAGAAAGTCTCGACACCAAACGGACACAAAATACCAAGCTCCTTCCATCCCATGCCGTGGGCGAATGCCCTGTGGAGGTCCTCCTTTACCGGAGGCGACCTTTACAGATTTCGACGCCTTCCGCGCCAAGGCACGGTTTTGAACTGCAGCAAACCCAAAGCGCTTATACCCCAGGCCCCAAACATGGCTGGTTGCCAATAATCCCGCACCTGTTGTTCATGCCACTCTTGAAGAGGTCGTGCTGCAGCCTAGGCACCTTTTGGGTTTCGGCGGTGTGTCTATTCCGGATTATATGGCCAGCCCGGTATAAGCGATGAACTTGGATTCAAACCCTACCCTTCCTGGACATGTGAAGCACTAACGCCCTAGACCCTAAAGTTTCCTAACAGCTGCGAACGTTGCCTGGGTTTGTGCACAGACATCATCAACCTGACGCCCCAAATTCAGACCCTCCAAGCAGGCCATGAAACGATCGCAGCACTCCCGGCACGTTTTGCTTCCCAGCAGTGTTCCGACGGGGGTTTACAGGATGAGAGGGGTGTAAGAAGCCTGAGCTGGAGGGTAAGGCCGGGGGTAGTTGAGGGTCGGTGATTGCAGCTTTGAGCTGCAGCAGGAGCTTAGGTTTCTTGGGTCTCTACTGGTGTGAGTGCTTTTTTGGCTTTCTGTAGCTCCACTGATCAGAGAGGCGCCAGTAGGGTTTGCCGGGGGTTGATTTCTGAAGAAATCCTACAGAAGTGAGCTGCCCAGCCGCAGATGAGTTGCGCTCAACATGCAGGAAGTATGCTCTGGCAGCCGAGCGCAGTCGAAAACATGGAGAGGCCCGCTTAGTGTAGACGCTTCTAGCATTCTATGCTGGATCACTGCTTGAGTCAGTGATCTTGGAGGTGGAGCAACAACCTGACCAAATTACAACGACCTCGACCGACCTCGCCAAACATGGTACGATATACAGAACATGATCCCAACGTTGTCTCACTTCAGGCTTCGACATGAGTGTAATTTGGCTGGCTCTGATTCTTGGTTCGGTGTAGGGTCACAAGTATTCTACACTCCTTTTTTGGAAGCTATCCCGCGACCTTGCAAACACGTCGCTGCGCAAAAAATCGTCAGAGGCTGCTCAGCGGTCTGTGCGCTTGAACTGGTTGCCGGGGGCTTAGGCAGAGCTCCCATCTTGGGACCGCCCAGGCATCTGCGTTGCTGAGCACCACATGACCACTTGGGGCTATTTGGTTTTATAGCCTATGCAGGGAGTCCTTGTTGGGCGGATTCCGGCTGCCTGTTGAAACATGTCAAATCGTCACAGCTACCAACATGAAGAAGGCTGGAGAGATTGTTTACGCCTGCCGCCTGCCGAAATCCCACAAGCCCAATTCTAATCCATGCTCTTGACTTGATTAAGCCGGAACAGCCCCAAACAACAGATGATGAAGTTATTCCAGGGTTTTCGAACCAGCTCCTGGAGCAGCCAAGTATATGAACCTTGTACACATCTTTGAATCTGGTGAGTTCGACTACTCAAGAGCTCATATGATTGTGCGAGGTTTCTGCTGGAAATTGCCGTGTCTGCAATCCCCAACAGCAGCCCTCAAACCCTGACCATTGGCTTGAGCCTTCATCAAATTATGGAGCCCTCGAGGCGCGCTGGCCGTGAGGGCACAGAGCTCGAGGACTTGGTCCCTTGGAGTCCGCATGTGGAATAAAGGGTGCAAAAGGGTGGTTCTTACAGTATGATCTATGTGATCCCTGCAAAGTATCTTAGAACCCCTTTTCACTCCCCACACGGCCCTAGGGTCCCTAAGATACGCATTGTTCCCAAAATTCCAAAACATATAACCTCAACATACCGGACATGGACTTTTTTGGGAGGACTTTGCTGCTCCTCTGCGAGCGGAGCTGAAGGAGTTGGAGGCAGAGCGGCAGCTGAGCACTCTCCTATGCAACCTCCCCAACCCCTGAGAGGAGCTTGTAACTGTAGAAGCCTGAATGGGAGATTCCTAAAATTAGGGGTACCATTTTGGGGGTTCCTATGATAAGGATGATAGCATATTGGTTTATATATTAGGGTTTCCCCTATTTAGGGAAACTACCGAATGTATCGTGAGTCATATGGAGAGCTGACCCATGATGCTTCGTTTGAGTGTCTGGTGCATCGTGTGTAGACCCATTGACACCCCCACATTTGGCAGGATCCTGACTTGAAGACCCGTGCGAAAGCGTATTATAAAAAGTGGTTTGATGGGCCCACACCAACACCATTGCTGAATTTGAAGCTTGCGGGGCTTTGTTGCAATGCAGATCTGGAGACAGACTTTCTGATCCACGAAGCTCTGTGGATATTGCGTGTGCAAGAAGCATTTGAGGACGATGTCCTACCGGTTTGGTCTGCTTTTGGGCTGCAGGGTCAGGGGCCTGTAGTTTGATGAGCAACAGTCGACAACAAGACGCTGGCCCAGGTGTCGACTTCTAGTTGCTAAGTACAGGTTTGGAGAGAGACTGGTTGCATGGCCCAGGTTTAGGTTCTGATTTTGGCACATACTCTTTTCCAGAGTAAGTCCACTGGTTTTCTGAAGAGAATAAATCATGCCTGGCTCCAGGCTCCTATCGTAGTCGCAAATACGGCATAGCTTCAGCACGCGGCACGAAGTACTTGCAGGGCTTGTCATTCAATGTGGCAATGTGGCTCCCTTCGTATCCTGTGTAACATCGGGTGAACTCCTAAACAACGCAGAACAAGCCAGATGCAAGAGACCAAGTGGCCAGTTGCGAAACAAACGTGACACCCACAATGACACAGAGGCTCTCGACGAGGCGCAGAGGGTCGCGGAGGAAGCTGTGGAATCTGCCGAAGGGGAGGCCGAAGGCCCGGCTTTTGAAGTTTATTACGATCTTGACAGATGGATCTGAGCTTTTTTATGAGTCCCTCTCTGGCTTTGTTTACTCTGCACCAGACAATTGACCTGGCATGGTGCAAGAGACTTATATAATAGGAGCCATGAGAAGACACTGGGATCACATGCGATCGTTGTGTTGGCATTTTGGGGTTCTATTGGGATAATGGAAAAGAAAATGGAAGCTACTATAGTATGATTCGGGTTATATAGGGGTTTCCCAGGCTCAGTATTGCTGGCACTAGTTTTCAAGCAAAATTTCGAGGACTCCCCAGAAAAACCTGCAGAACCTGTGATTACTTGATTTCAATAGGGGGTGATGTTTTCTCTTGCGGCATGATGTGGTCAATCCTGCTGCCTAGTTAGCTTGACAAGGTGAAGCCATTTAACGTGCTCTCACAAGGAGGCGATATTCTGAGACCTGGACACATGGACTTCATTCCGTGACCAGGATTCAGTGGTGATTCACTCCCTCATGCCGCCAAAGCACAGGTGCCACAGTGACACTACCATCTCAAGTGCCACGGACTTCGGGGTGACTGCAGCCCCTGGAACTAAACATTTCCAGCTCCTCAACCGAGCCCCTGGTTTTTTCAGAGGGCCATAGGATAAAAGGGAAACTCGCTCATGGCATCAGCCTACACTTCTGAGAGTCACTCTTCCTTGCTGGTCATGGTGATCCCTATCCTAGAATAATTACCATATCCATTCAATCAGTTGCTTATCAAGGACCTCCTGGCATAGTTTGCGGTTGCTTTTAGCTTTATTGGGCCTCATTTGGAACAGAACCCGCGGTGTAGCTGCATGAGCCCACCCTTCCCGTTTCCAATTGAGACAGAAAACCAGTTGGGAGTCGCAGGCGACCTTCCTGCCCCGCCTGAACATGATCCGCACATGGATGAGATGGATTGAAACTGAAAGGAGGTTCCGAAAGCTGCTAGGTATGTAGTATTATGGCGGATTTACGTCTTACGACCCCCCCCACCCCCCAAAAAGAGTTTGAGGCCTTATTAGGTGGCGATGGTGGGAAGGACGTTACCGCGAGGTAATCAATGTACCCGTGATAGTAGGCAATTATAGAACATGGATGAGGATAGGGGTTGTTTCAGGCTAACACTTCGACAGGCCCTGCTTTTGTTTGAAGTATTAATTGGGAGCTACTGACAAGACGGAAGGGGAAATTCTGACTGTGGAAAGCTTTTTTGGAACCTCTTTCATACCTGTCAAGTGCGGGGTGGGCTTCGGGAGCTTCACCTCAGTCACAGCCAGTTTCCCTGTGCTATGACATTCCCAAGCCAAAGAACCAGAAGTTTTCCAAGAGCCATGAAGGAAAATCTTTGCTTGGGCTGGAGACGCTCCTGCCATGAAGTGGCTTGCGCGCCCACTAGGACTAATGAGGATGGGAAGGCCTTATGAAGTCAACTGCTGATCCAGGAGATGCAAGATGCAAGGAGTGACTCTTGAGAAGATGAATCGAGTAGACTAGCTGTTGCTCGGAGCATCGCTGGGAATGATTTGTGATCACTATGGTCCGTAGTCCCTACATATCTTCCGCATGAAGCCAGAAGAGTTTACTTGCTTGTAGGGCCCCAGCCTAAACTTACCCCAAAACCCTATGTAGTAGTTTCCATTTTCTTTTCCATTACTCCTATGTCATATATCCCTATATCCTAAACCCCGAGCCCTAAATCCATCCCAGTTACTGATTCGCTTTGCACGTTTCCTCCCTTTACAGGGGTTTATAGGAGTCATGTGAACTGCAGTCCAAACTCTTCAAAGCGCATTTTCAGGGGATTACGTATCGGACAACTATAGGGGTTATTAAGGAGGTTACTGAGTTTGGATTATGGCTCATATAGGGATATATGGGGGTAGATGGATTATGCAGGGTTTGGGGCGGTATAATTTCTCACAAGCTGAAAATCAAGTAGAATAGCAAATGGATAATGAAACGTGAAGCCAGGCCAACGCTGAGGTGAGAGGTGGCCAAATGTCAGAGATCGGCAACACGCTTGTGGGTGGACGACTAAATTAAGTCGACTACCTGCTGGAATGCCGCGCGTTCAAAACAATTGCGCAGCAAAATGTTGCCATCAACATGGCGCGAAACAAGGTCCTGTTGGTGGCTCTTCTGGAGCGGTCATATTTAAAGGGCTGATCTAAAGGTGCTGCTGTGTCCTCAGGAAGGCTTCAGCTCGCCTTTTCTCAAAATTGGGGGTTCCCATTCTAGACCTCGCTCTGATGGATTTCTTGCTGGGCGACCCAAAGAAGGGACCAAACAGTTTGAGAAAACTCCAGATGCTCTTGGGATCCTTGGTTTCCATGGTTTCCATGCAGGACGTGCTGACGGATCTGGATGCCTTTGGCTTCCCACGGGAGTATGCTGTCCGCGGCTGAGAAAGGTTCTTCTCAAGATGACGGTTCCGGCCTCTAAGGCACCTGATCCAAAGGCCATACATTCTGATAGATTCCCCTAGATGTGAAGGAGGGCAGGAGGGACCGAACAGAGCTGAGCATAGTGACGCACCCTCAACGGTTGAAACAGGAACTTGGAAAATATTCATGTTTCTCAAGATCAGGATCCGGTTGGTGTTGCGAAGGCTCCCGGCTTACGGATGTCCATTTGGACTGGGCTTTCTTGGCTAAATCTGCCTAGATGAACCTTGACGTAAGCTGCACTAGACTGTTAGCCTTCATGTTGAGAGGAGTCGCACAACCTAAAGTGCTGCAGGTAGTTTGAAGTACCTGCAGTTGTAAACAACGAAGCAGTATTCCCACCAGCTCGAAACAGCCCAGGAGGGGGTTCTTTCTAAGGATTCTGTGTAGGCATATTTTAAAACCTCATGAATACTGTAATCCTTTGTATTGGGGCCCCCAAAAGGGTACAACTGATTTGAGTAAAGCCTAAAACCTAAATCCTGCACTTACCTACCAAACATGTAAAGTGTGTATGCCAGAGGTCCGATGCCTGCAGCTCAACAAGCACAACCACGTGACCACTACGCCCCGGGCCCGGGACGGTTCTTTCTCTTGTAGTGCTAAGAATAGCAAAAAATTTGGCACTAACATAAGGGGTGCATTTGAAAGGGTTTCTAGCTGGGCTTGTCTAGGGTTCAGGGTTTAGGGTTTAGGCTTTCCTCAAATCAGGGGTACCCTTTTGGGGGTCCCAATACGAAGGATTATAGTATCATGGGGTCTATATTGGGTCCCCCCTCCCCTATTTTGGGAAGCTACCAAGAACAACATATGGAAATAGTAACATGGATAGTGCTTGAAATAATGACAATATTACTGCCAATCCCGGCAGTTGTGAAGTCCAGCAATGGTTTCTCAGCATCATGAAATTGTGAGTGCCTCCAGATCTGGATTCCATTTGGGGGGGAAAAAGGGGCATCCTAACCTTCAGAACATCATGCATGTGCAGCTCCCCGCATGTTGACAAGTCTCAGCTCGAGTTTTTCCCGAGGCCGAACAAAAAAATCATGTTTGAGCGGAGGGCTCGTCACAAAGCCCCTGCAACCCCAAACAGTCAACCCTTTACCCTAGAGGTATTACCTCCTGAACGAGAAGAAGCGCCGGCTCATGGAGCGTTTGGCACGAATCCCTGGGGTGCGGACCCCCCTCCCCACCGTGGAGTTCTACCGCGTTTGAACCAGAGTTGTGGTTCTCCAGGGCCGCAAAGGTTTGGAGGATTGTTTGTTTCATATCCATTTGTTTTTCAGTCGGGGTTGGTAAAAGGTCTGCACAGAGAAGAAAAGGATTGATGAACGGGAAGGACATGCAAGATTGCCTAGGAGTTCTGCTGGAAAATTCTGTTGAACATGTGTAGGCAGTTTGCCATATCCCACAAAGTATTTAGGAACTAGTCACACAGGCTTGCGATTTTAACAAACCCCAAACCCTACATCCACCACAGCCCTAAGCCCTAAACCCTAAACCCCAAACCCTAAACCCTCAAGCCCAGGTAAATACAAATTGTATAGGCCACAGTTAAGACGGAAGCTCCGTGAAATGTTGGCCAAAGTCGTTCAAAACTCCCGACCTGAACCACACGGTTTAGGGTTTAGGGTTTTAGGGTTTAGGTGAACCCTATGCAATTTGTATGAACTTGTATGTCTCCAGCTCCCTGCCTCCATTGCGGCCCAAGCTTGCAACGGCCGCTACGGGCCACCAAGAACCCGCGCCCAAGGACTGGACGCTTTCAGTTGTGGTTGTTATTGTTGTTGCTATTTTTCTTAGATGCTATGATGGCTATTACTATATGATTATTATAGGTATTCGTACTACTTAATTATTGGCCTTATTCATATCATCATTATTATCACTATTGTTTGTATTTTTGCTATCATAATTGTTACTGCTGGTACGATTATTACTACTATTTTCTTATTTTATCAATATTATTGTCATGCTCAGCACGAATACTATTCTGATCAATATTATCATCACTCTTAGAACGATTCTCTGCCTTCTGACTCGTATCACTAATACTCTTATTGTTACTCCTTCGTACTACTACTATTACCATCAAACCCTGAAGCCAAACGTGCGGGTGCGGATCTCAGAAGTTGAGGTTGTCGTAGGAGCCGTTGTTGTGTCGTAAGCAGGACTATAAAGAGGCACGGGATCAAAGATGGGAATGCCGTGGGTACTGTCCCCACTCATTAACAGGTAGTTGGATAATATTCATGATATGATTATATAGATCCCTTAATATGACCCTATTATAGACCGCTAGTGGATGGGGCAGGACCCAAGGAATGAATATCAGGCAAGTTAGGAGCTAGAGATATCCAGAGAGTTCAGGGGGAAGCTGTTCCTCGACAAGCTTCTACACAAAAGCCACATGAACACAGTAAGATCCCCACATGACAGGTCCCCTGCAGAGCTGGGATAGAATCCTCGCCTAATCCTTGTGTAACCTTTCTATTTTCGTTGGTAGACCTCACTTCGGGTGGCAGGCAGGCTGCTCCATCCTGGTTCTGTAGGAGGATCCATACTCCATGTCAAGGCAGCAGGCTTCGCCAAACCAGTAGGACTTCGGCAGCAGGCAGAACTTAAGCAGCACTGCGTAGGCTTCACTTAACTTTGAAGATTCTTCATGTTCAAGCTCCTAGCACTCGTCCCATGCTTGCAGGAGGCGACCCGGGTTCGACTGCATGAAGTCGCCTGTGCGGCATTTTACAGTGCTTGGCGACACCCCCCAAGTTTAAAGCAAGGTTCAAGTACAATCCATCGAAGGCGTGTAGAAGGTTGCGAACACTCGATAGGAGACTATTTGGAGTTGGTTTGCAGACTCCATCGCGTAGGGCCTAGGACTTTGGCAACTCCAGCGAGCACCGCAATGTCCCTGAAGTGGAGCTCTATCTGAAAAGGGTGTGTTGTCTTCGTTGCATGTTTGCAATGTAAAAAGTTGCCTGAGTCCAAACTCGCCCAACAACGGAGACCCTGGTTTTGAAAGATACCAGAAGAAGGCAAAGTGGTGAGTACAGAATGGTCGCTTTCAGGGCCGGGAGGCAAGAGATAGTGCTTCTAGGCTTTCAAACTTACATGCTATGTCCGCGGTATGTGTTTGCGCGAATGGGAAGTTGATCGTGGAGGGCAGAAGCTCTGATGTGATACTGCTGCCTGTCGGAGGGGTGTTAGGATAGTTGATAGCTCAGGTCTGCGGGTTGGTTGTGAGTCATTATGGATAGGAGTACTGGTCTTAGGTGCAGCTGGGAATTGGTGTGCCATCTCTAGGAGTTTTCAACAACATGCGGCTTACACTCCGTAGGTTTTTTTGATATCCGTTCTCCTTCCTTTGGTTAATCATTTGTATTGTTTCGGTGATTGCCGTGATCAGGTTAACGTGTATTTTGTCCAATCGTGTCCAGAAGCCTCAACACCCTTCAACCTAAAACCTTAACCCGCAAAAGCCCAAAACACTTGAGATTGCCACGAAACCCCGAAAGATTGTTCATGATGTTGCTGTTGAGGTTCATCAACATCATTCGGAACCGGGCACAGGCTGCTCCGGGCAAGGCGATCGTCCTCAACCCAGAGGACAACTTGCGATATTGCATGGTGGTGGTGGTGGTGGTGGTGGTGCTGCTGCTGCTGCTGCTGCGGCGGTGGCGGTGGCGGCGGCCTCTGGCGGTGGTGCTGGCGACTGGTAATGCTGGTAGGGTACATTAGTCTTTTGTTCTTGTCGCTACTCGCAGTAGCAGGAGGGATGTTCACAAAACGGCAGCTGAAGAACAGGGTTGAAGCGTACGCGTGGATATAGACTTCAGCTAGCACTGGGGCCTAGTCCAGTCAAACTGTTCTGCCAGCCTATCTAGCATCTTTAAAGCAGATGCGAGGAAGATCTAGGTGTCCATGAGGATTGTAAAAGTATGGCCACTTGTTGCGACATGCGTCTGCAGCTACTTTAGAAGCGCGTGTGGTCGTCCTGCAAATGTTTTCAATTCCAGGATTAGCATTTTACCTCTTTGAGGGCAGTCTAACCCGGTGAATTTTGCAGTTGGGGGATGTGAGCAACATGAGGGCCTCAGAACGATGCCCTTCCCTAGACGAGCTTCTAGAAGCAACTCCTGATTTGCTGAGTCCCTGAATATTTGGGCCAGGACTATGCAGCAGCCAGTGGAGAGCTGTTGCTCGGCTGCAAATTCAAAGTTGCATAGGCCTTCAGAAGTATTCCCTGGTTTGGTTATGATGGCCATGGTCCTCAGGAGCCCATTCAATTTTATCTGATCCTCTTCACACTAGAACAGGATGGCGGGCTCATGTTTAAATCCCAAAGAACCAAAAACTCTTTTCAAGCAAATCTTGCGTGAAGATCACAAGAAGCTTCGGCTCTCCTCTTGGAAGAACAACTACACATGAGTATTGCAGTTTTGCGGGTTGCCGATTCCATTGAGCCTCCTTCCCCAATGGGTGGGGGCTATTGCTGCAGGTTTGGCTTCCTTGCGCTCGTTCGGAAGCCTGCCGGGACCAAAATGGAAACTTAAGTGGGATTCCTTTTACTCTCCTGATCTTCGTCGAAGAGACCTCAAATCGTACCGCCTTGCAGTCATGTGGACCGCAGACTGAGCCTGAAACCACCAAGCAGCAATCTGTGCCTCGCCAGGCTAGTAATTGCGATGGTCCTCAGCTGGATCTTGACGTGCCTCTGCAGCAATCCTCAACTCCAATCACAACACGTACCACTACCCCTCAAGACTTAGGATCACCCAAAAGGCCAAACATGTTTAGTTCGCATCCCGTGGTAACCAGCCCAGCCACACCTGGAGATCCCCAAGCCCCTAAGGGACTCCCTACCGAAACCTTAAAGCCGTAGACGTAGCGTTCCCTTTCAGTAAGTAATGGCCCCTTGAGTTCCCCTTTCCTTACCAGGTCCCCATAAAGAACAGTCGCCAATGTGGGCGTTTCCTACAAGTATGCTTTTTGGGTAAAGAGGCCTCTGCTAGTGAGGGTCTAGAAGACTAGCCAAGTTCAGAGAGCTACATACATCTGGACCCTGAGATTCCAACAGAGCAGGACTTCAGTTCAGAACAGGTGTTGCGCTCGGCGCGCTTGCTGTCTCAGTTTCATGTCCAAACATGCAGCACGCAAGAGACTGCTGTGTGCACTGCTCCTGAGTTGCGCAAGCTGAAATTGAGGGTGTAGGCTTGTGGCCCTTACGAAAAGCATACTCTATTTTTTTCCATGTGGGCTTTGGCAGAAGGTTTATAGCCTATAGCTCAAACCTTAAGCTCCTGGTGCCAGGTATTTCTTTGATGCTCAGCTGCAAACAGACCAGGACTTCTTGAAGTGTCGACATGTTGTCAAGTTTGGGAATTTTGGAGGCAGTAAGCTACCTCAAGTCCTACACCCTAATGTCAAACCGAAGACCCTGAGCCTTTGGCGGCAGAACCCTACTCACCTAGTCCATGCTGTAATGTACCTTGAATACTGCCCCAGTGCCATGTAGGACTTTTGGACTGGTCTAGGGTGGTGGCAGCACAGGCCTTCAAAGCTCTCATCTGAGCCAGCCATGGAATGTTGCAACCTCAGACCGCCAAAGGCGCCGGAAATCATCAAGGACAATGAGCTGAAGAGGCTTGCAGACGCTCATTTGAGACATGTTCACTTTGTAGCTCTTGTTGTTAGGACGGACCACAGCAAAAGAACGTCAACTATGAAATTCTCATGCATTCTGTAGGTCCCAAAAAGGTGCTTAAAAGATGTTACCAGACCTCTCAGAACAAGCAAGAAAAGCGGGCTAATGGGCGACCCAAGCCTTTAGCAAAACCAAGTTGCAAGCATTACTTGCCCTGGGCAATTCTGTCAGCATTGGAGCGCACCCGCTTTGCAGCAGAAGTTCATCGAAGGGTCATGAGATGGATGGCACAAAAACCGATCTGGCATGGGCCCTAGACCCTAAACCCTAAAGTGTGGGAACCTTCAGTCTGTTGCTGCGCAGGCGCGTTGGCTACAACAATCTCTGCGTTGGGTGGGACGAAGCGCCAGCCAAGTATGTGGCTGCCCCGATATTTGTGGCAACCTGGTTGGATCAGTATCAAAGACGTAAAAGAAGCTTTCCCTGTTGCTCCCCCTAGCGTTCAGGGAGAGTTAGACTCCAGAGCGCTAAGACTTGAAAAACTTTGATAGTAAGAGCCTGGTAGCTGACGGTTGCCAGTCTTGCTGGCCCTCTCTGAATCTAATCTGTTTTTTTTCGCTGTTGAGCTTGAATCAATGATTTTGTAGACTCGTCATGCTCTGCAGCTCAGGGAATCGTGTTTTTTGAGTCGCGTGGCTTGGCTGGCAATAGTATGGCATCTCACAGCTTTGAGGGGGGTTGACTTGTAATCCAAGGATTCGCTCAGCTGACATATCACCGGGCAGCGCTGGACACTGCGAGCAATAGGTCTCAGGACAGGTGCTTCATCCTGCTTCATCCGATGAGAAGATTGATTTTGCACCATGGTTCCGCTAAATCGGTTGCCAGTCTGGGTGGCCCCTTGTGCTTGTGCTTGTCCATGAAATCGACCCCGGTTTTTGCAGGACAGAATAGTCATGGCCGGGCGCTTAGCATGGCTGGCGTAGAGCAGGCTGACAACAGCTTCAGCCAAAGCAAGTCTGCTCTTGCTGTGCATCGATGTTGCTAGTACTGCTCCTACTCTCGTTGCTTGCGTTGCTCTTCAAGTTCCTTTCGACCAGACTGTTTTGCAAGGTCACGAACTTCATGCAGACGTTGAGTTGGCAGTTCGGCCGCACTTTTCCAAGCAAGATAGAGCATAAGCAAAAGTCATGCTATGCTTGTTTTCTGCGACAGTGCTCTGGACAGTGTTCCAGCTTTTCGGGTGACTGACCATATTTTGCGAGCCTTGCAGTCAAACATGTCGGCAAGAAGATGGCAGTTCTGAATGGAGGATGGCCCTCAAAGGGCCATGATTTAAAGCATTTGTCAAGTGTTGCTCCGATGAAATTGCCCGGGAAACTTGGGTCCAGCGAGTTCCTTACATTATCCGCTCCCTTGACATGAAACCGCCCACCCTGTATACTTTCATGCTCCCACTGTGAAATTATAGTCCAATACGGGAGCATTGAAGAACATGGGGGGTGGGGTGGAGTGGGGTGGGATTTTGGATGAGAGGGGCAAGAGATTAAATCCTATAAAACACGATACAACACCACTTTCCATTTTATTTTCCATGTTTTTCTCCAGCTGATTCTCCACGGTCGGGGCAATACCCCTAAACCCTAGATAGGGGTTTTTCCATGCTCCCCGTCTTACCCCTATATAATCCCAATATACCCTTATATAATATTGATCCCTATACATCCCTATACAACGCCTATATATTCCCTATGAGCACAAGCAAGGATGGTCTGTATCCTCATCTTCGTGATCTCGCCCAAGGAGAATGCAACAATGCACACCTTCTCCTTCGTGCAGCTGGTCGTGTCCCTTGATTTGCTTGGGAAGTATGAAGGAAGAAGTTCTAGAAGAGTTCCGGATGCTTGACATGTAGACTGTAGACTTGAGAGTCTAATGTTTTTGGTTGCCGAAGTTGTCCCCTCACAACAACCCGAAGCTGCTTCGCAAAGCCTCCCTAACCAAATGCAGGGTTCCAAAAATTTGGGGCCTCAATATAGATCCCAAACTACTACTCCCAATCCCCAAATGAGCATTTAAAAAACAGGCTGTCGAGTAAGGTTATTTAGATACGGAAATAACGTCGGAAACCG